AAATAAAAGTTATTCTGGACATCCAGAGAACTACTCATGGACGTTTTCAAATCAACATAAAACGATGATGCAGCTTTGTGTTTGCAGATTTTACCCTGTCATCCCATCAGCTGCCACCTAAAAAGTGGATAAGAAATCATTTTTCACCATATTAAATTTACAGAATGTTGTATGAACTCCATTTGTTTCATTAAATAATACTCCCAATTATTGCAGAAGACCTTACAAATAAGTCAAAATAGTACAAAATCCCACTCTGGAGTAAATACATACCCAAATTTAAATAAACTAAATCATGATAGTCACTCTGTTTGCATACAAATTTGACCTTGCGATTAGAGAAAATGAAAGATCAATAATGTCTTCAGCATTAGCATGTTCATCCAGTTAAAGCACCAAACCTTGAGATTGAATTCAAAAATGGTAATTATTTTTGAGATAATATTTACAATCAGAAGTGACAAAAAGCACAAAAATACTAACATTAGAATATTGCTCGGTATGTTCCTTTCAACTTGAACACAGCTTATGTCTTAAATTGACTTCAGAATTCAAATATCAATCCCTCTGAAGTACATTAAATAGTTACCCTTACCTCCTCTGCTTGGTAATAGACTCAACTTGTGGAGGTTTTGTTTTTCTGTGCTTACTAGTTCTCTTGCAGTTCATGGAGAGTGCAGTGGGCGGAGACTGGATGGACTCACCTGGGAGCAGTTACCTGCTAATTGAGGACAAGTATTTAAGCTGCTTCCTGAGATCCATCCAGCGCTGGATTATTCAGTCGCCTTGGTACTGAGTAAGACAGCTCCAAGAAAAATCAATATTCAACATACCTTACAAGATCATTTGTCATCATTAAGTGTTCTGTCATAAATCTCCTTAGAAAATACATCAAAAGAGTGAATATAAGATTCTTATGTTAACTGAAGCCATATGAAGGATTCACAGCATGATATTTTTAACACACTAACTGTTCATGCGTCCTTTTGCTAGATTTAAATACCATGTGCATTATGCATCAGAGAACAATAAAAATCTTGATATCCTGCCCATACTCATCATGCAAATACTACAAAGCCAAACTTGGTCTGTGCAGCAGACGCCAGAGTAGTACCTGTGACAACTTACAGTTATAGGTTTTACCAGGGGTGGAACACATACTAAAATAACACACTCAAGTAAAGACATACTGTAAGTCATTAAACTATGACAATCTGGTTTAAAACACAAAACAAAGTTGTATTACGCTCACGTGAGGCTGTGCAGGTACGTGAAGGCTGAAACCAACTGCTGAATATTTTCTGAGTGTTTATTAAACAGGAGGTCTAAGAGGTTATAACCATAGATATTATAAAAGGACTAGATACCGTAACCACCACTACTGCCTATTGGAGCTGACGAGACGTGGGGGCGCCATCTTAGAACGGTCGCCTGCTCCACTCAGTGTGATCAGTGTAGCAGGCACAATGAAGTATCAACACGTTTAATAAATCATAACTCGCTGAAAACTGAAGTGACTTTCACACCTTTTCTTTAGCTGCAAACCTTATACACACAGCTAGTTTAGCTACACGTGTAAGAGCACATGGTTGTGCGTATTTAAATATTATTGGGGTTAAAGAGGTAATATATTTTGCAAAACAGTGATCTGTGCATATACAGTATGTATATGTGTATATACATACACATATATACATTTATACATACACACATGTACACACACACCTATATATGTATATATGTATGTATAC